CACTTACTTGTGCTGAGCAAACTACGATGTTCCGAACGCGAGACCACGACCGTTGGTCCCGACTGGCGAAACCAAACTGATCCTTGCTCTGCGGTCTGCCCAACAGCTAAGCTCGGTCGTGGCCGCCGTGGCTGCTGCTTCTCCTTCGGCTGCCTTGGCATGTCTAATGAATGCGTACTTCGGTGGTCCGGAGCCGGGTTGAGGCGATGGTGAGGCTTGGTGGTGCTCGGTGCGATTGAAATGGCAAATAAATGGAATTTTTGCGACGCCTCATTCATAGCTGTGGGCTATCCGCATCCGTTGTGCGTGAAGATATGCAAGGAATAGGATGGGCGAGTGGAAAATTAAATAACCACCATGGCCCATGTGAGGTTGCACGGTGCGTATGCTTGATGTTGCGTATATCCGTGGAAAATTGAGTTTCGAACTAAATGATTTAATGATGAGCAACCTAATTTGCTCTTAAAGTGCAACTCAATTTCGGCATCGATGAGTTAATTTAAAGAACGTGTTGTCATAAACACACAACCAATTGCACTGACAGGACAGCTCCCACGTCTTCCCACTTGTTCTTGGCCGGGGTGCGAATCGTTTTATTAATAACTTCCGCGCCAAATTGAATTATTGTTCGGAACGTACTTGATGGGAATGGTGGCGATGCCAAATGATTATGACGATGGGAATGACGACAACGATGGCCCGGCAGAGCAGCGGCGGCAGGAGCGGAGTAGAAGGAATTTCAACGCATTCCTCTAGGAAAATTCCAGCCCGTTTTCCTTTCTCTACTCGGGCTCCTTGGATCCGGCTGCACTGGGGCATAGAATTGTCTGGGACACGTGGCACCATGTACTTGCCACCATCGTCCCACACAGCCATCCGAATGCTGCTCGTTTTTTTGTTGTTGGATGAAAGTTCATTAATAAACTTTCATTGCTGCTGTCGAATTCAGCTGCAGCAACCATCCCCGGGCACTGAAATCTTGTTCGGCCTCAGCTTCAACAAGTGGCATCATGCTCCTGCGGTTATCATCCCCCGCTGACCTCTTTTCCCGTTCGCCCCATCCCCATCCCCATACCCATCACCATCCCATTCCCATTCCCGTTGTCTAGTGGCCGACACCAGCAGGGCTTTATTTAATGGGAAAACGCTGCGAAAACGCTCATGCATTCGCGCTCGTTTAATTGCTGCAGAAATGGTTTTTTATTGACTTTTACTTGAACTCCTCTTCAAAATGAATTATGTCAAAGCGAAGACCGTCACGGCTTTCCCTGGGTGTGCCTTACTTCTTGGGATGATGTTTTCCGATTCACTTTTTCTCCTTATTACTAATTTAAAAACTTCGTTTTCTTCAATTAAGTTTTTTAATAGATTTTGTATGTGGTCAAATTTAAATTTATTTAAATAAATATCTTATGTCTCACAGAATCCTTACAATCGACTCTTAAGTTCACCCGACTTTCGAAATTTTTCTCGAGCCCCATGACGCTCCTAAAAGGTGTAGGTGACATCGCTGCTTACACAACTTGCAGAATGGTTCTTCCGTTCTGTCCCTGCTCTCTTGGCTCATAAACCAAGCAATTATTCAATCTCCACGGACTGCGATGGGGGCAATAGCTGCTCCGGACAGTTTACGACGAGTGGTTGGCTGTTAAGTTGGCTCTCGAGATTCTGGGCCTCCATCGTCTTTTTTCCGCCATTATAGGTTCAAGGTTGTAGCTGAAGGGCTTCGGCAAAATTATATTTCTGAAAGAGTGAAACAATCTTGTTTGCAGATTTTGTGGAGGGCCTCAAAATGATGCACTATCGCAAGGCCGAGAATGTGGAGCAGGAGCTGAGCAAGAGCGATCTGCCCTTCGAGGACTGCATGCCAAAGTCCCAAAGGGACTTTTTGTGGATGCATGTGAGTGCCACAAACCATTTTTCCAATCCATTTTTGAAACAATTCCATTTGCAAAGGTGAAAGGCGGTACCAAAGTGAGCAATGTGATTGAGTTTGCTCAGGCGGCGCTGAACAAGGGCGAACACAGATGCGTGGTGTGGAGCGGATCCGGCGGCGGAGTGGTGAAGACCATATCATGTGCCGAGGTCCTCAAACGGAGCCACCCCGTCTACCAGGTGACACGCATGGCGTACACCAGGTGAGTGTGCAATAAGCAGCAAATGTGCAATAACTACTATAGTGTACTACATAAAGCGTGGAGGAGCACTGGAAGCCGCAAACCGAAGGCCTCGAGGAGATTATAGTCACCCGCCAAATACCCACTCTGCACATCCTCATGAGTCTGGACGAGCTGCCGGACAGTATAGACGGGTAAGCTAAAACGGGATTACAAAAGCTTTGGTATTGTAAAAGCATATTTCGATTAGTTTACAAAAGCCGAGTACACCCACTGATTTTTGGGAAGGCACAGGAACACACCCACATCCGCGTCCCCAGCCCCGCCATCAGCAGCAACCACATCAACCAGGAGCTGCGGTTCGGCCGAACAAACGAAACAGATCCGGGCGCAATAAACCAGCCCAACAACACGGAAAACCTGACGCTGAAGATAATTTGCCCAACAGTTAGAGTCAAGGTTGAGATAAACCGGCCATGTGAAGATTCCTTTATTTACCCTTTGTAAGGATATACAAATAAAGCCTAATTTATCACAAAAGACCAGCGGTGTCATCGCAATTAGGGGCAATGAAAGATTAGCTCTCCGTAGATAAGCGCGGTCTTTGTATAATTCTTTTTTATGGAACTACTTAAATTTACAGTAGATGTTCTTCGGGTAACGACATTTAAACGAATTTGGGTATGGCGAATCCTTAAGTTAAAGGTGATCTATTCTAATTACCTACCTAGGACAATGAACAATACTTTGGGTGTTCCCTTATCTGTTGATAATGGCTGAGTGGGTGTTAGTGGATTGTCAAATACAAATGCAATACCGGGAAATTAAAAGATATCTGAATCCCCTAAGCCATCCATTAAATGTAGACAGTAAGTTCCGATGAGGAATAAATTGATTATTTGATGTTTTAGGTAAAAAAAAAAGACACCTATTCACAGCGTTTGAACCAAATTTAAATTAGAGCAACAAAACAGCGCGCTATAAAATACAAATTTTGTCTTATGTGAGTCCAAATAGTGTTCTTTATATGGGGAGAAAAATGTATACCAAATCAGCAGAGCAGTTCGCCAAAGGAACTTTTACTGTAATTCTGCTTTCATTGCTGTGCACACAAAGCACTTAGGAAAAGCTGCACAAATCTAATCTGGCGGCTTTCAATGGCGTTATCATCCCACGTATGTACAGGTGCCGGTTAGTATGAAAAATGATGTGCCTGCGACGAGTTCTGCGATCGGGTGCACTGCGTCAGCTTCGCTCGTTGAGTGGCAAGCCGCAAGGCGATGCCCTTCCCCAGAGCTGCGAAGTCCTCATAATCGGTGGCGGCGGCATGGGCGCCTCCTCCGCTTTCTGGCTCAAGTCCCGGGCGCTGCAGCTGGGCCGCAAGCTCAATGTGCTGGTGGTGGAGCGTGATGCTGGAGTAAGTACAAGGTGGCCTTACCTTACATATGCGGCGCAGAGTCCAAAATAAAGGGCTTTAAATATTTTACAGTTTTTGTTAAATTTGTATTAAATGTTGCGGTCTGGGAATCCAAAGTTGCTCAATTTAATATACCTATGTATTTAGTTTGCGCTGATCATAGAGATTAAGTATACCTATATTTCTGCATCTACGCATTGGGCTTCAGCTAAATACACTTATTTATGCATATGCACTTTAAACTCAACGCATTACTTTGATGAATCCCCAATATATTCTTAAATATTTACCTATTAAATAATTACCATTTCTATATGCTTCTCCAGTACACCAGCGCATCTACAGTTCTCTCTGTAGGCGGAGTTCGGCAGCAGTTCTCGCTGGCTGAGAACATAGAGATGTCGCTCTTCGGCTACAATTTCGTGGTCAACGGCAGTGAGCATCTGGGCGACGTGGATCTGTGCTACCAGCCGAACGGCTACCTGATCCTTGCCTCCGAGAAGGGAGCCCACATCCTGGCCCAGAACTCTAAGCTGCAGAACAAGTTAGGGGCCCGAAATGAGCTGCTTGGCCCGGAGGCACTGCGTCAGCGGTTTCCGTGGCTATCCACAGATGGCGTGGAGCTGGGATGCCACGGGATTGACAAGGAGGGATGGTTTGATCCGTGGGCCTTGCTCATGGGCTACAAGAAAAAGGCCCGTGCTCTGGGCGCGCATTTCGCGAACGGCTCGGTAGTGGGTTTTGAGTGGAACGATTCGGGCGCCCTTTCTGGAGCAGTGGTCGACGACGGAGATGGAGTGCAGCGCACGGTGAAGTTTGACACATGCGTCCTGGCGGCGGGAGCGTACTCGGGTCAGGTGGCGCGCCTGGCAGGGATTGGTGATAAGGGAGCGAAGGAGGCTTCACTAAGTGTACCCTTGCCGGTGGAGCCTCGGAAGCGATACGTCTATGTGGTAAGCACTCAAGGGCGGAATTGTCCTGGGCTAGCCACACCTCTGACCGTCGATCCGAATGGCACCTACTTTCGGCGTGACGGTCTTTGTGGTAACTTCCTGTGCGGCCGCAGTCCGAACGAAGACGAGGAACCCGAGTGCGAAACGCTGGACGTGGACCATGGGTACTTTGAATCGGATGTGTGGCCCACACTGGCTAACCGAGTGCCCGCCTTTGAGTCAGTGAAGATACAAAGCAGCTGGGCGGGCTTCTATGACCACAACACATTTGACGCAAACGGCATTATTGGCAGACATCCTCACTACAGCAACCTCTTCATTGCCACCGGTTTCAGTGGACACGGCATTCAGCAGACTCCCGCCGTGGGTCGCGCCATTTCCGAACTCATCTTGGACGGCAAGTTTACCACACTGGATTTGTCGCGCCTTGGCTTCGAACGACTTGTGAACCAACAGCCTATGCACGAAATGAATATCGTTTGACAAATATATCATATGAGGGTCGTACTTGCCTTTGATGTGTTTATATATGTACTTCTTTTATTGCAATTTCTGTTGTGTATATAGTTTTTTGTATAGTAAAGTTCACGTTTTAGTCACGTACAGATGTGTTGGTGTTTTGGCTGCCAGTAGTCAAAGGAATTTAGTTAAATTTACGGGGATTCGACGTAGAATCAGTCACAAGAAGGTCGTGTGCCTACATATAATTTATTTAAATAAGGAGTTAAACATAATCGTAATATAACTTGCGAAATAATTGCTGACTTAGGATCAGATGGGGTGAGCGGGTTAAGGGGGCCTGCATAAATCTGGAACTGCCCTTGTTACTTAGTTATCGTTATGTAGCTCTATGTGTATCTGACATCTAAACTACATACAAGATCTGCATTAGAGTCGGGTTCGCGTGGAATTCTGTCCCTGTCAGGGTGAGCTAACCCAACTTGCAAGCTATTGGTAAATATAAATAGATGTATGTTGAATGAGTGTTCCATATTCGGGCTCCTAAGCCTCGCTTTCGCCAGGGGCTGCATTTTCACCCACGTTGATGGGCACGATCAGATTCTCCTTAGACATCAGATTATATTTTGTGACGAAATGCGTAAAACGGTGGCATAGATAGGTCTCCGCCTCGAATTCGTCGAAAATGCGACGATGGTGAAAGTAGGCGTGCGAGAAGATGCGATACACTCGCCGGCACACTGAACCCAGCTTGGTCACCGACGACTCCTTGATGGACACCCTAGGGGAGACACTTTCCTCATTATGTGGCTAGTTCCACCGTGTCGGGAAGCCTGCATACCTGCTCGGGAAGTACTTGTTGCTGTTTAGCAGACAGGCGGCACCATCCAGCGTGTGACGAGTATAGTCAATGGCCGGACACTCCTTGGGCGTCTTGTGGGCGGCGCACAGGAATATCCACTGGTCAGTGGCGGTCATCTGGGTGCACGTCGACGGCGAGCACTCCTTCTGCAGCCGCACTGCCAGGCCGTTCAGCTCCATGCAGAATTGGCGCAGGTGCTCGTATTTCCACACGCCCTCATCCTGCGCCTCGGGCATGGTCAGGATGAGTTCCACGTTGCTCGGATCGCGCTTAATCAGCTGCTGTATGTACTGCTGCACCGCCAGCGTGCTATCCATCTCCTCCAGGGGTTCGTCGGGCCAGCGACAGAAGTCCTGAAAGGCGAAACCGAAAACGGGTCAGAGGGCCGGGATCATATTTTGGACGCCCAGTCATCACTCACCTTGGATTTTGTGCCTGGCCGGTTCCTACGCAATATGGTCGAGCCGTCAGCCATCTTCATGTTTCACCCGCTCGAAGAAGCGATGATCCACAACGTCTGTGCCTACGCCTTGATGAGAAAATCGCTGGCAGAGCCTGAATGGAGCCTGGTCCCTGCGCCACTGGTGTCTCCCGATGTGGAGTCCCTGCACTGTAGTAAGCTAACTGAACTCTACAGGCGCTGGCACATCGCTCGGCAATTGAGTGGCGTTTATCCTCCAAAACACTTTGCTTTGTGCGAGAAAATTTCTGACAAATTCTACATACATACATATGCCTATCGATTGGGCAGCGGTAGCGCGCATCGTTATCGATAGGGCGACCTCTCGGTATTTCCGCCAGCCCTGGCCGCGAACTGGCCACACTGTCGGCAGCCAGTCATCATAAATACGAACAGATTGGAAAACTTACAAGAATTGCGTATTATCTGTGGCATTACGAGATCGTACTTTCTAAAAACTAACTTAGCGTAACCCCCTCAGCTGCAATCATGTCCTACGCGTACTTGTTCAAATACATCATTATCGGAGACACAGGTGAGTGGAAACTGCGACTCCCTGCTGCACTGAATGGCCAGTGAAATGTTGGCTATTGTCAGGGAAACAATCTGTAATTGCAAACAAAACGACAAGACAAAGGGCATCGCAAGCGTAGGGGTCGTACCGAAATGGGGGCTCCAGGTGGCATCAAGTGAAGAACTGATGCCAATATATCAGAAATACATCGGCAGGAAAATATTCCTGGAGTCGGTGGGCCGAAGGAAAAATCAATAAAACCATAACAACGCATACAGGCGTTTGCTGCTCTTAGAGTTAAAGGGGAGCGGGGAGCAGCCCACACAAACCCTGCAGCTGAGTCACCCAACCACCCCCAGTAATTGAGGGATTCCGCCCCAAATAGCCACGGGCTTATCAGCACTCTGCCTTTCGGGATGGCCAACAGCTGTTGGCATTTTCCAGCCTTATCCACTTTCCCCTGACTGCCCACTAACTCTTTCCCGTTTCCGCAGGCGTGGGCAAGTCCTGTCTGCTGCTCCAGTTCACGGACAAGCGATTCCAGCCGGTGCACGACCTGACCATTGGCGTGGAGTTCGGAGCACGCATGATCACCATCGACGGCAAGCAGATCAAGCTGCAAATCTGGGACACGGCTGGTCAGGAGGCTTTCAGGTACGCACTTACGTCCATATATAATACTATAATTTATAATTTAGATTATTATAATTTATAATACCCAAGAAGTAAAAAGTGAAATCTCAGATTACTCCCATAATCATACACAAACTGCTTTCGAAATGAACTTATTTTTGGAAATGTGTCCAGGTCGAAACAAACATTCTCGTTCTTATATTTTATATAATTATTTAAATAAAAGTTTAATGCTTACTTAATAATTCAAAATAATTTGGTTAGTGTTCATTTATATACATAGATCCCTCGGGTAAAGGGTTTACAAAAATAAAAAAAGATGTTTTTTGTTTTGAGTTTTAGCATTAAAATTCGGTTATTTTTATTTTCTGTAGTATAAACTTCTCACACTTTACTAAAAATTAAATGCAAACAGAAATAAAAGAGCATTGAATATTATAAGCACTAACATTTATATAACTGCATTGTGACGCACTATATATTTTTGGATAGATCTATCACACGCTCTTATTACCGCGGAGCTGCTGGCGCCTTGCTGGTTTACGACATTACGCGTCGGGAGACCTTCAACCACCTGACCACCTGGCTAGAGGATGCGCGTCAGCACTCAAACTCGAACATGGTCATCATGCTGATAGGCAACAAGAGCGACTTGGATTCGCGGCGTGAGGTCAAGAAAGAGGAGGGAGAGGCCTTCGCCCGCGAGCACGGACTGGTCTTTATGGAGACTTCAGCGCGCACAGCGGCCAACGTAGAGGAGGCGTTCATAAATACGGCCAAGGAGATTTACGAGAAGATCCAGGAAGGTGTCTTCGACATCAACAATGAGGTAAGAAAAGGGACATTTGGACTTCTTGTAACTACAGTTTTTGATCTCGATACTAGGCAAACGGCATTAAGATCGGCCAACAGCACTCGCCCACAAACCCGTCGCTGCCAGGAGCCGGAGGAGCTGCTGGAGCAGCAAACAGTGGCTGCTGCTAGGAGTAAACAGCAGATGCCCGATTGCAATTCTGGGATAGGCGCAGCCGCTTCTGTAAAAGCTATTTTAGTGACTAACTAATAGAAGGTAGTTAAAGGAACCGATTTCTTGTTTTCTATCTCAACCGTAACTAACCACGTAAACATAGCTACCACTAAACTAGCAATTGAACACTAAGCTAAATGTTATAACCATTAAGATCAGACAGTTGCAAGAAACACATCTCCTTGTTCAGCTACATTTTAATTACCCAAAGGAAACCAAAACGAAGAAGAAACCAGAAATAAACCTAAACCAACAACATATGTGTATGTGAATGTCGTGCGTGATTTCCAAATTTTATAAAGTTTATTAAAACATTTTTAAATGTTTTATGCATGTATTTTGTGTATATTGAAGTTAGTTTGGTAGTTACTTCGTGTAAAACCGATAGTTATACATTGGGATTTTGACAAAATGATGTGTAATATATAAACAAAAATGAAACTGTGTGAATTTTCATTGTGATTCGATTTCAGTGAGGTTCAGCCCCACAACGCTGCGCCACGCCCCTTTTTGCAATGGGTATCTGCTCCGCTTCTCTAGACATACATTCATACATACATAATTAAATATATTAATGTGTTTACGTTTCCTTCTCAACGCATTTGCCTTCTCTATTTTGTTGTGCAATCCGCTTTAGTCTTTATACATACACTAGAAAACAAAAAGTACATTAACAAAATATACAAAACGTGTGAGCCGAAATGGGGTATATAATTTACACAATCAACACGCATTAACAGTGGTAACACGAAATGCTGCGATTCAATGATCAATTTAGTATTTTACGAAGTTTATATTTAATTAACGGCAATTGCTGAGACAAAACGAAAGATACAACTGTAAAAGTAAATCAAATTATTTATAATATTTGTATTTGCCCAACACCATGCGGAATAATAAATATACATACTTATTATTAATATATATATGAATTGAGTCGGTACTTACCATGGGTTAATTCGCCTTATATCAAGTGTTAGCAAACGACTAATTAGTTTTTTATGACTAGAGATAGTCGAGATGCCTGTATTGCACCTTATAGATATGATCTCAAGGTAAAATTCTTTAGTTTAATAGGGCAATTTGGATTTTTACCCCAGATAAATTTGCAATAGTTATTATCCCCTCAGTTTTAAAAGGAAAAGAGGACAGAAACAATAAAATAGATCAAATAAAATGTATCGCCCTAATCAGTTTAGTTTTCACCATTTTTTATTTAGTAAGAGGCTTTCGGTAGATAATTGTTCAATTAATGTGTTGTAAATAATATAGAATTGTGATTCTTTTTTGTTTATGTACATATTTGCTAAAGTGATTGGAATCAACAGCTTCCAGTTTCTATATCGGCTATAGGCTATGTAGTCATAGTGTCGCATTTACTTGATTTTAAAGGTGCTTAAATGTTAAAACATTTTTTTACTACGCAAATACACTATTTATAAATATTTTTGTATTTTTTTTTAATAATACTTGAACTTTTAAGATATTACATCAGTTTGTTTTATATTTTTTGAATCTTATCTAAGAAAGATTTTGCCAAACTGCAAAAACATGATTTTCTATTCAACATTAACTATTTTGTATACCCTAGTTTACTATTGTTTTGTTAATTTGGAAACAATTCGGATCCGTGACGTTTGATGTACAAACAAATGCTCCAAAGATTTTATTGTGAGTTTTAGATTGATTGAAAATGGTCACTTGTTATTGCATACGTTACATAGATTGTTGTTTATCGTATTCCCTTTAATTAATATTCGTACGAAATGTAAGGCAATTAAAACTATTTTTCTAATTTTTGTAAAGAAGACAATTGGGGGACCCGTTTGCACCTGGCAGTGATGCACTGCATTGATATTGATTGAAATTGAACAGTTTGTCTAAACATGAGTACAAGATGCGGTTAGTAATTGCCCTAGTGCGGTAAGTATGTTAGGTGTATATTGATACTTAGCTACGATTAGTCAAGTCAAGTATAGTCTTACAGGCTAGAGCTTAGGAATAGGCATAGTTTCAGTTACAATTCTGCTCTGATTTTATGGCTGCAACACCATTTGACATAAGAAACTCGTTAACATTTAATGCTACAGTTCGGATTTGCCTCCAGTTGCCTTCTACTCTCGGCATTCAACAGTGCAATCAGAATGTACGTAACCTAGTGTAAAAGTTGAGCTTTTTTAGTCTCTAAGACATCACTATCACTCTCCTTAGGTGCTTTCTTTTCACAGAACTCGATCAGATACGAACAGACACCGGAGAGTGCAATAAATATTCCAGCATAATAAAAGGTGTCATCCCATCTGTAAGAGGACAAAGTGTGGTCAGTCAGCCCATTCAAGGACTGTAGAATGCCTGTAGAACCCAACTCACCTGCCCGTATACTCGTAAATGACTCCTGCTATGGGGGGTCCTGCGATCATTCCTACTCCCTGCACCAGCAGCACCAGACCGTAGGCACACGTAAAATCGTCCAAATCGACAATGCTGACCAGAATGCTGGGCGTAAACGAAAAAGAGCTGGCGAACGTGAATCCGAAAATAACGCACATGACCATCAGGCCCATGTAGTTGGTAATCAGCAGAGGCATGAAGAACACAGACGCGCCGCATACTGAAAAATATATCGCAGATGAAAATGTGTCCAAGGATACGCTCCTGTGAGCAACTCACCCAGCATGCACAGCGAGTAGCATATGTTGATGTTCATCCAGGGCAGATCCCCCAGATAGCCTAGTCCTATCATGCCCACCGTTTGGGCAATGCCAACATCCGAAATGAACTCGGCGCTCTCGCTCACCTCGTACTTGTATTGCTTCATGTAATCGGGAAGGTACAGGTAGGGGATAATGAACCTGTGGAGCGTGCCAAAAGGTAGATTAGCCGCTGATTGAACGGGGAGCCTTATCTGGTAAATGTTGAGTTTGAATTGATTTCAACTAGTTTTCTTATCGATCCCATAGGGCACTCGGACTCTGCGGGCGTGGGTAAGATAAACCTGGATCTTGAACAGCCAAGGTGGCCCACTAGGTGAGCTGATCGATAGCGTTGTGCTTGGAATTTTACCGCCGTTGGCCAACTGTATTGTTGGGCAACAACTGTTCGTTTTCGAACAGGTGCCAAAATTGCTTGCGACGTTTTCTGGCAAATATTCACTCGACGGCTTGGCACATTTGTCTATTAATTTTAGCATTTATTGCGCCTTGAGTTCATGCGCAGCTTGGGGCCTTCGCCAATTGGGCCTTTGCCCAGTTGAAATTGTTTCTTTTATAGCACCAAAGAGTACTTACCAAATGAACAGAAACAATGTGGAGAGATTGAAGAGGGCGAACTTCATGTCCAGGAAGAGGGAAAAGTCGAAAATGGACTTCATGGTGTCCACGAAGTTGTCATACCAGGTCTGGCGGGAGAAAAAGAAGATTTAGTTAATGTTCTGATTTAATGTCCAGAATTTTACAAGACGGAGGATAAGATTCTTTAGGAGTGCTTTCATTTTACTTGATAAGATGTACTTTTAAAAGCGATTAAAGGACTTTCGCGGAAACCAGGTAAATGTTGTTAGTTAGCCTTTCATTACAAAGTAATAGTTGTGAGTTGCTAGCTGAACTATGAAAAGATAATCATCTTCCAAGGTACCAATAGCTGCCCCGGTTTCTGGCGTAGGCAGAACGGAAATCGGAGCGGTCACCTTATCAGCCGTGAAAAGTATGTCTATGTGGTCCAACTAGTCGAGCATACAGAGAGGCAGCTGATAAACAGCTTCGAGCATTAACCAGCTGGAGCTGTCGCCAAGCGAGCGGCTGATAAGGGCGGGGCAAGGGTCACGGTCTACTCACATCCTCCTCCTCTTTGGCGATGGTGGTCATCGAGTTGCGGTAGATGTTGGGGCAGGAGGAGGCGCGCAGCCGGTAGCGGTGCGTGTTCAGCATGGCGCCGCGGTAGTGGATTGAGTTGCGGTGAATGCGCATGTCCTTAAGGAAGTTGGAGTTCCGGATCGAGATGTTGCGGCGGAGGTTCGATCGGTGGTGGCTGGGCTTCTTGGAGCGCGACAGCCTGCGGATGCCCGTGATGCTGTCCAGGCGTGCGCGACGAGTGGCCAGTTCGCTGTTGACTGACGGCTCCTGTTCAGGAATGGCGATTACGGTGGGCCTGATGCGCCTGCTTGGCTCCAGCAATGCGAAGGTCTCGTCCTTCGAGTAGTAGCAGTGCAGGTCCTCGCTCAAGATGTCCACCGAGTTGTGTCGTAGGCCATTCACCTTTAGGTTGGAGATGGATGGCGTTGTATGCTTGGCCATGAAGATGTTTTCGTTAAGCGAGTAGCGGGAGGAGGCGTGTTTCTGCGTGAGGTAGCCTTCGTCCGAGGAACGCAGGGAGCCATTGGCAGTCCCACCAGTGGAGCGCTTTTCTGACGGAGACAGCGTCTCGATGGAGGCCAGGTAAGCCTTCTTGGCTAGCTCTGCCGCCTCTTGAGCTATTCCGCCCATTAGGGTATCATCGGGCGATCCTATAACGGCCGTCGATGGAGGATAGGCACCTGCTCCCGAGGACATGGACAGTAGGTTTTCGCGTGAGGGGGCCTCCGCACCCTCCTTGTGGCGTAGGGAGCGGCGGCTCAGGCTCTTAACCTCGCAGATGCTGTCGAGCTCCTGAGTGCTCAGGAACGTGGGCAGGAAAATCTCGCTGCGGTAGCGCTTGAGGGCCGAGTCCAAGGGATCGTCAATCTGCTGGTTGGCCTCCGTGTTGTTCTTGGTCACCAGTGAGTCCAGCACGGCCTCCTTTGTGATGCCGGTGTCCAGGAGCTTTTTAATTTCCTCCAGGCAGACACTGGAGTTGGAGAAGGTGGTGACGCTTTGGGACCGACTCTCCAGTCGGTTCTCCTCGATCAGCCAGTCGGGATCGCGCATCAGGGCGCCACAAACGCATGCGTTGAGCATGGTGCCTCCGAGGATTAGGGTGGCTCCCCGCCAGCCGTACGATTCAATTAGATAGGAAGTGAGGCGAGCGTAGACAAAGGTCCCGATGCCGGTACCTGATGCTCCTATCCCGGTGGCGAAGGTGCGCTTCTTGTCGAACCAAAAAGCAATGGACACCACAGCGGTCACGTACCCGATGCCCAGGCCCAGTCCCGAGATGATACCAAAGGTCACCATGAGCATCTCGATTGAGTTGCAAAACGAAGACAGCGCAAACCCAAAGGCAGAGACCACACCGCCGAGGATGGTCATCTTTCGGCAGCCGTACTTGTCCACCAGATTGGACCAGATGGGCCCCATTAGCAGGGGCACGGAGAAGAATAGCGAGGATATCCAGGCGGTCTTGGAAGTGGACTCTCCGAAGTAGTCCAGCAGTTCCACGTTGATTAGTCCGAACGAGAAGCTCAGTCCGTCGGCAATAAGGGACACCACCAGGGAGGCGAATACCACCACCCAGCCATATCCTCCGTCTGGCATCTTGGGCGTTTTCTTCTCCGTGGAACTGGAGTCAATCGAGTCGCCGGACTCGTTCGAGATTAGGCGCTTGCGCCGCTTCACCTGCCCGTTTCCGGTCATCAAGCACGTCAAGGTGCCGTCCTCCAGTTCGATGACACTGCTCCTTACCGCGCGGCTGTGTCCCGCCCCATCAGCGAGCTCCTCCACGGAGAGGTTACAGAAGGTGACCTCCGGGAAGAGGTCGTGCTTGATGGCCTTGTGGAGCGGCGTATTGGCCGGAGCAGGCGTGAGGGGCAGGGCCTGGTAATTGGAGGCTCCTCCGTTCTGATTCTGATTCTGGCTCTGGCCATTGTGGTTGTTGTTGACCGCCTCGCAGCTGTTGTTGTTGGAGGCGTTGGGATCCGCCGCTAGCTTGGCCATGTCAGAGTCCCAGATCGCGATGTTGTGTAAAGGGTTCAGCTACGTCTATAAAAAGGTTTGTAAAATTTGCACTTTCTTGTCCAGCGATCGGTTATTGCAAGTGAACACAATTTGCATTAGATTTCAGCATAAATTTGGTTTAAGTAGGCGGTAGGTATATGTTTCCTCCCTCTGTTGGTCAACTGCAGTGCGTAGCTGAAAGATAAAGACAGATTGAACTTAGCGCTAGAGCGACTTTTAAACTCTGCAATCCCCCGTCCCAACTGCAGCTTGGCGCTGATAGCAACCAAAACCTTGTCCAGTCCATCTTCAGCTCTTTACCTCAACTTTCTGTCTATATGACCAATTGCGCGACTACAACAACATCTGCCTGAAACCATTTCGTTCAAAAATCCGCGCAGAAACTGTTTGCTCACTTGGCAATTCGTTTATTTGCCTTCGAGGCGCCTTCAACTTGACCTCAGCAAAACAGAAAGCGGACCATTTTCCGCTTTTCCGAGCGCATTCCGAGAGCATCGAGAGAAATGGCTTTCTTCTTACCTCAGACCCAAAACAAAGTGCGTCACATGAACGCGACGGCAGCTGATGTCCCCTAATAATTATGGTATCCGAAAACAAATATTTGTGTTCGTTCCCCTGAAATGGACGTCTGTGGTTAATTATAGACTGCTGTACGGGCTGAATAGGCACAAATCATCTACGATCGGACTAACCAGATTCTTAGGAGCGTCTCTAGGTTTCCAGTTGACCACTTACCCGACTGCAGTCCTGGCAATGCTTTCTCCGCACGCCAGCAGCCAAGCCGTTGTGGATCGAAGTGAATCGGCGATCTGTGGTGTTGATATTCTTAAGATTTCACTGGCACTAGTTTCACTGTTTCGGCGCCGCCGCCAATCAATTCACCATAATTGCACAGATCTTCAGTTATGTTTAGCTCGCTTAGGGTGCGGTTAGAGTGTTTATTCAGGGTGGCGGTTCTGTTGAAGATTCTTAGGCGCGGGTCGCGGGGGATGTAGTGCAGGAACACCTTGTTCGACTTGCCGCTGTTGTTGTAAGTACGGGGATTGTTGTTCTGGCCCTTGGCGAACGACTTGGCGCTGCTGGTCGCGCCCGATGCGGCCGATGCGGATGCTGCAGATGTTGGTTTGCCTGCACGATAGAATGACTTGGACCGAAGGTCGTTCATTAAGAACGCTAGGGGGTTTATCACAGGCCAACGGAGAATATATTGAGCGATAATTGACGGCAACTGGCGGCAGTTGCTGGTTTGGCTGGTGTTGCAGTTGCAGTTGCAGTTGCAGTTGCAGTTGCAGTTGTAGCAGTTTGTGCTGCCGGTAAACGGATTTTGCCCTGGCAGCCACATGCGGCACTTTGTTTTCGCGTTCGCGGAAGTCAAGCACTTTTCGATTCGATTCGATTCGATGCCAACGAATTAGCGCGCCCGGCTAGCTCGAACAAAAAATAACAAACACAAATCGAACACAAAACTGGGCCTCAGTGGTTTCTCCGGCTACTTGCCGCTCCCCGTGTCAAGTGCGCGGCGCGTGGTGCGGCGGCATTGTATATCTATATCCTTATATCGGCGGCGGGACGACCAACGCGGCGTATGATTAATTCGTCTCTGTTGGTGCAACTCAATCGCTGCTTTCGCTGCTTTCGCTGCTGCTGTTCTCGCCTCCTCGCGTCGCTGGCGCCTGATAATGATTTATGGTCCTCGTCCTCAATTAGCAGCCTGCGGTGCAAACGCTGCAAGAGGGGCGGAAAGAGTGGGGTCAGCAGTTAGTTTTGATTCGCCTGATAAATGACTTAAATGCGAGCAGGCGGCTCTGGGCTTAAATCTATAAATGTGTATATTCAATGCGAGCATAAATGCCCCCCTATTTTTCTGAGAAAGTCCCACAAAGGCGACGGATTCACGATGCTCTCATCTTATGTTTAAGTGCTCGATTGACCAACAATACGAGATTTTCAAGGGGAATTGGGTGCCCAAGAACAGAATTGCTCAAAGAACAGCATCTTTGTTGGCATCTTGTTGCCTTAATCAATTAATGTAGGTCAATTTTTGAATAGCAATTCACAAATATTCTCTGCGTAATCACAAACTATTTTTACAAACAGTATGAATGGGTTATTGTTAACAATGAAGCAAACAAACTTCAAATTTTCAAGATCGCCAAAAACTTTCAATGTGTGTTGTTTTTGTTTATTGCCATGGTAAAGAATAATTATTCTAATGTTTTTGGCAAAACCCAACCGTAAACAGAATTTATAGTTTTATTTTAGAAATATAAAGTCTGCATAATTTGAGCCACTTTAGCGGATATTTTGCTATGGCAAATTTTAAATGGAAATTAGGCAGTATATTGATCAATGCCAGTCGTTTGTATTTGAAAATAGGAAACACGTTTAGCTCCGTAACGTTTAACTTCTACAAGCTAGTGCCAATGTTTATTTTATCTAATGAAAAGAGCTAATTATTATTAGATAGATTTGTGTTTGAGTGCTCAAACCAGTTAATTTTACAAAAGTGTTGGAATATTAACAAATTTATTTCTGTAACAACTTCGAATTGTCATGCTATCAGTAATGAAAATACCGACTATTAAATTTATTGAATTATTAGAGCTCAAAGACAGACATTCAATGAAAGCGTAGGATGCTGATAAGATTGAAATTGCGCTCCCATACAATAAGATTCGCTTCCGCATTGGATCATCTTTATATGTATGCTGACCAACTGATCGTGGCTCCTCAAGTTCAACGCTCGATAGGCGATATAAACAGCGAACCTGAGTAAACTGGGAGCAACGTGCTTTAGTTGCCGGGATCTGCAGTCCTAAAACGCGATTGTCTGGCAGACAACGAAATGGTTCCTTATCAGAAATCAAATTCGGATCACGATTACTGCGAGTACACAGATCACCAAAGCTGGATTGTGAGCGTGTGGGGCGATAGCGATTCTCGGGCGAAAAGTGGCTGCCTATCTTTACAATATAATTGGCAGAAAATGGTTTTATTCGTTTCGATGCGATAAGCTAATGTCTAGCCCTCGAATCCGGAGATTGCGCTACTTGGAGTTGCAAGCGAAAGTTCGAATGATGAGTTCGGCTGACTACAAGTACTATTTTGCTAGTTAAATCCCACTTGGCATTACGTTTTCGTTGATCTCGTTCCAAACTAGTTCAGCACCACCTGCTGCGCCCTGTGGCATGCAACACTCTTCAAAGGCACTCGCCGCTGGAGCAGCACTTTCACTTTGTAGAGCACATCGTGCTCGAAACTTGAAGTCCACATCTCGCTTATTCCGTATTTACACAACAATGGCCGAAAACAAAGCAGCGCGTGAGCTGGACAGTCCACTCCCGTCCCGTTCCGTCCACTCCCGTCCAGTCCAGTCCCGTCCCGCACTGGGACTCAAGGCAATTCGGGCTGGGATTGAAGAACAACAGGCCCGCAGCTCGTCGGAAGAGCGACTAAACCTAAACCCACTCCGGCGCGGAACGGAACGGAGCACGGAGCACGGAGCAGAGCTATCGCATGCCTTAATCTAATAAATTCCTTATCACAGCGCGTCGCCATATAGTATTTGCTATATCTCGCATTTGTGCAGCCCCAAGTACACGGACGGATACCCGTGGAGTCGGTGTGTAATGACACACGCGTCGGCGTCGTTGACATGCCAGCCTTTTGTGACGCGCTCTCCTCGGCTCTTTCGGATCAGATCTCTCCTTGGTCAGACTTGGACTCGGAGCCTGGCGTTTGCCGGGGCAGCGGCGTGTGGGGAACTATTCGCCGCTGTGGCGTTGGTGTACAAATCATGTGATTGTGGGTAATTGCTGTTCTAGTTACAACAACAATGCCGCTGCCTACAGAATCAGACCAAGAAATCCAGCCGAAACCTTTATCTGTTGAGCTGGACGCAGTCTAGTACGTTCAATATGAACGTTCAATATTTGACAAATATAAATATTTACTAATTCCTACAAGTTATATCTATATCTCACTGCCCAGCAGATTGATTATAATTTTTTTAAACTAATTTGGATTTCTACAGATTAGTGGGTTTCATTGTAAGAAATGCATTTTCGGCTTGATGGAATTTAATTTATAACATTTAATATGTTATGTGATGACCGTAACAACTATTCCTGCTTAATGTTGCATATTTGAAAGCACGAAACATTTAGGATCTGGAAGAATCTGCTTTTGTATGTTACTATTTGCTTAACTGAGTAAAACCAGTAATTTTTGGACACATAGTTGTCCTGAATTGCCTATTATAATTACGGCGATAAGACAAAGTAACGTTCTGCGTAGTTCTTTAGGTCGGTTGAATATGAGGCAATTTCATCGCAGGTTTACAAGTTGACGATAAGCTTTTAGTACCCAAATTTAACGCCGAGGTTCCTTTTGATGCTGACCTAGGCCATCGAAGTTGCTTTATTGGCCTGATTACAATGTATGCACTCGTATATGGAGGCTTTATAAGAGTACCTGGGAAAATAAAAGTGTACATGTAGACGGATGCCTGCCTACAATTAAAGATTTGGCTCTAAATGAATTACCTTTCCCTGGTTGTTTGTTTTGATTATACACAGAAAATGCCTTGATGTGAACTGGAGGAATTAAACCAGTGTAGTTTGACTGCCTGCCATTACTTTTTAATTGAAAGAGTTAAGCAAATTGAGGCAAGGACAAGCTGGTCACCTTGAATCGAATTGATTTTGCTTCTCACAGTCGCCTTCTGTATTGCCCATTAGAGTGTCCATCCAAGGAGGGAGAACAGCCCCTATCAGCAGCCATTGTCCTTCCAATCCTGCACTTTGTGACGCTTTAGGGAATACTCCCTGAGAAGTTCTAAGCAGAAATACAATCTAAAAGCAAAAAATCACTGGCGAAAATTGTTTTTATGTATGCTCAGCTTGCCAGTCTCGGATTTCCCAATCCGCTCGATTGAAGTAGATAATTGATAGTGGGTTCAGTTCTGCCAGCGTAATACTGGTGGCGATTGTTAATTGATTTGCGGTTTTGACGTGTTGCTTGGGGTTGTGGGGGTTTCAAGGCAGCTCACAGAAGGAATTAATTTAGCTTGTCTTATAAAGCATTTTAAATAAGTTGAATGTTTAGGATTCCGTTTTACAGGTAACTCTCTTCATTACATTGGTATATCCAATGCTCAAATGTTTTTACAAACTCTAGCAGACAATGATTTTGGGAGTTCTTTGTAAGTGAGTTTATTGGGCATTTCATAAAGCACATCTGATAATCTATATATCTGATAGCTACATAGTTTCTTTCTTATATAAAAAGGAATTTTAAAATGTAACTATCCCCCTTATTCGTAAAATGAAAGGGTATGCAACATGCGTTAAGAAGTATGTTGCAGTTAAGAGGAAGCGTTTCAGACCCATTATAGATCAGGATCACTAGCCGACTCGATCAGGCAATGTCCGTCTGAAAATCCGTCTTTTTGTCCGCCTGTCCGTATGAACGCCGAGATCTCGGGCACTATATAAGCTAGAAAGTTAAGATTAACCATGCAGATTTTACTGTTCTACTATTTTTCTTTCCAATTCCGATCGAAATGCAAGCAAAATGTAGAAATATTTGACTTGCAATCCCAGTAACTGAGTAATTTGTATTACTTGATGGTCTATTTTTTCTTATTTTCTCTTATTTTTATGTACATACATATGTGTATGGAAAATAACCCCTTTTCTTTGTGAAGCATTACTTAAATGTTTCGACTTTGGCCTTCATTTTTCCTACAGAGGCTTAGATACAGCTACCATAACGTTATAAATTGTACCGCACCCAGAGAAAAATGCGACCCACCACTTGGCCAAAACCACTTTTGATTTGGCTGATGCCGCATCCTGAAAGCTCGACACGAAAGCCACCGCAAAAAGTCGCAAAGGAGGTCGTTGGTTACATTTAACAAACAGTGCACACACGGTTCACACACACAGGTGTCGCTGTGACAGGTACACACTTTCGGCGTCCTTTCATGTTTTATATTTACCATTGGGGGCACAACATATAGTAACAATAAGTGCATCATCAGCAATGTCATCTCTCAAAAAGTTCTGGGCGCCAAAGGAAAGGCGAAAATTGGGACTGCACTTTCAAACTGGTAGGCATGCATGTTCGCATTTAAGGGATAATTATGATTTTCGCCTTCAACTTGGCCAACTTTCCAGTCGCACAAACACAAGCAAAATGTCCTGTATTGATTTTTGCCCAGCTATAAGATTTATTAGTTTTTTGCCCAGGGTTGAGTGTTTGTGTTTGTGATGCAGAGGATATGCAACATGAGATTTTTGCCAATATTTGGCATCTCATATTCTCTGTGTTCTGAATTTCC